GTCTACGAGGGTACGTGGACTACACTCTCCCCTCTCGTTGCTATGAATCACCATGATCTTGCGTGTGCGTAGAAATTTTTTTGAAATTACTACGTTCCCCAACAGTGGCATCCGAGCCAGGTTTTATGCGTTGATGTAATTTGCACGAGTAGAACACAAGTGAGTTGTGTGCGATATAAGTCATACTGCTTACCAGCATGTCACACTTTGATTCGGCGGTATTGTTGGATGAAGCGGCCCGGACCGACATTACGCGCGCTTACGCAAGACTGGTTTTACCGCCGTGCTATGCACACGAGTGACTAGCGGGTGTCAGTTTCTCCAACTTTAGTTGAACCGAGTGTGGCTACGCCCGGTCCTTGAGAAGGTTAAAACAGCACCAACTTGACAAACTATCGTTGTGGTTTTGATGCGTAGGTAAGAACGGTTCTTGCTAAGCCCGTAGCAACCACGTAAAACTTGCAACAACAAAGTAGAGGACGTCTAACTTGTTTTTGCAGGGTTTGTTGTGATGTGATATGGTCAAGACGTGATGAGATATAAGTTGTTGTATAAGATGATCATGTTTTGTTGAAGTTATCGGCAACCGTAGATATCAAGAGAATCCATGCATGGAGCACTGGAAGATGGTAAAGAAAGCATTGCGTTATGCGCAAGGCACGAAGGACTACATGCTAATATACAGGAGAAGTGATTTCCTGAAGATAAAAGGGTATTCAGACGCAGATTTTGCGGGGGACAGAGATGATAGAAAATCCACGTCAGGATACATCTTCACTCTCGCTGGAGGAGCTATTTCGTGGAAAAACTCCAAACAGTCGATAGTTGCATCATCCACGATGTATGCAGAATTCATAGCATGCTTCGAAGCCACGGGGCAGGCGATATGGCTAAAGAAATTTGTACCCAACTTGAAAGTGGTAGATTGTATTCACAAACCACTAAAGATGTACTGCGACAACCAACCCGCGGTATTCTATGCTCACAACAACAAGTCGAGTAATGCTGCCAAAACAATAGAGATAAGGTATTATGTTGTGAAAGATAAAATCCAGGATCAAACTATAAGTCTCAAGCATATAAGGACAAAGGATATGCTTGCGGACCCGCTAACGAAAGGCTTACCACCCAATGTGTTCAAGGAACACTTAGCCGGCATGGGTTTAAGGGAAAGCCATATGATTCCTGGATAGGCCCAAAAGGAATAGAATTTGTTTCTGAACAAAACTTATGTTGTAGCTGTATGATTCTATCGGCATTTAAGCTGTGATGATGCAACATGCTCTATGTACCAATATGTGACGAAACAAATAAACTAGAAAGTATAAGGTTAAAAGAAAAAAGTTGAGATCAAGGGGGAGAATGTTAGGTTGATCTCTCCACCGAGTGGGCCCAACGGTCCATCGGCCCTGATCTATTCGCGCCCTGATCGGGGGTGCCCAACCCTCTTATGGTTGGTGGGCCCCTGTGACCTGCGATATATAGAGAGGTGGAGGCCGGGGCACACGGTACGAGGTTCACCGCGCCGCCAGACTCCCCACCGATATCCCCTTCCGATTTAGGGCAATCGCAGTGCTCACGGGAAGCACCACTGCCACCTCTCCATCTCGATCTCTCTGCTACCACCGGCCTCTACTACACCATGGCCAGCTCAGGATCGAGCTCATCCGCACCCAAGGAAGGTAGGTTACCGGGAAGATCTAGCCTACATCGATCTAGTGGATCTAACAGAACATGCATGGGGAAGCAATCAAATTTCACCTCTAAAAGAAGACAGACTTTGAAGAACACAAACTTTGGATCACCAGTTCATCACACACCCAGCGTCATGGATCATATACAGCAAAAACTGAACGCGTGTGAGCAACCAAACGTCCAAAAACTCCACAAAGGAGTTCCAAGTTTCCAACATTGTACTACGTATCATGGATCATCTGCAGGACAGGAGTATGTTCTGAAACAAGGCAAAAATCCTAAGGTAACCGGCGCCGCCAGTGCGAGGATGCTAGTCGAGCACCAGTGTGAGGAGGCGAGAGGCGGCATCGGCCGCAGGAACGCTGCACACCATGGACATGGTGCTCTCCTCCAGGTCCACGGCCACGATCTTCACAGTCTGATCTGCCGAAGAGGAAGAGATGAGGAGGTAAATGGTGCGCGCGTCCAGTGGGTGCACAAGCGCGATGCGGTCTGGTCGTGGGAGTCGCGCGGCGGCAGCCATCTCCTGCAGCCCAACAGCAGCATACTGCTCCCAGTCCTGACCCTGCTCGGTGACGGCGAGCTTCCAGGTGCGGAGCCGTCCCGCCTCGTCCATGTCCGAGAGCACGAGGTGATCCTCGGTCACGCTAACTGACCGGATGTACTGGCCCGCGCCGGCGCCGGGGAACAAGACGAAGCGAACACCCGTAGGGGCGAGGAAGCTGGGAGATGCCTGGAACCTGATGAGCCCTGAAGAATAGTCGATGAAGAAGACGGAGTCGCCGTGAGCGACCGAGCCGTCGCGGCCCCAGGGGCGGGCCGCCCCCGCTGGGTAGGGTGCTCGCGCAAGGCGATGGCAGGAGGTCTCCGCGAACGCTGACAGGCACATCATCTCCAGGGGCTCCTCCCCCTGCTGCTGTCCCCCCTCCTGCAAGATGGCGGGGACCAGCACATCGTGCTCGCGCCGCATGACGCCCACGCTCGCGAGCGGGTGCTCGGAGAAGCGACCTGGAAGGACAATAGCTGAGCTGGTCGCGATGTCCAGCACCATATACACTGCAGGGCGCTTGGGCTGGGTGCGGCGCACCAGCAGCACGTCTCCGTGGCTGGCCTGGACCTCGTAGATGGCACCGGCGGCCGCCGCCGTGGAGCGAAGCAAGCACACGGTAGAAGGGCGCGGTGGGACACGGCACAGGAAGCCGAACTCATGGCCGGAGAAGTCCATCACGTCGGAAACCACGACGAGGCCCCTGAGCACCAACCATCCCTGCCCAAATGGGTCATCCGGTCCTCCGCTGCAACCAACGAACCAAATTCCGTTCCGAGGTCACACCATACCCTGCCATCATCATCCAGCGGAATTGAACTTGAGAGTCGCAAGGGACTGAGTACTCACCAAGCAACCCGGACGGCCTCCCCCGCCGTCCTCTGCCCCGCGACCGCCGCCTGGTGCTGGTGGCCGTGCTGGTCCAGGGAATGCAGATTTTGTGAGCTTATGCACCCGGGCCTCACTATCCTAACACTCCAATGTTGCTTTTAGATCTGTACTACACAACTAACTTATTACATGGAATTTTTTCTTTTTTGTTCCTTTCATATAAAACATGTCTTGAACTTCAAACTTTGCAGTACAACATAACTTTGTAACTAGAATGTGAGATAAAACTTTCAGATTTTTTTGTCCGACATAAATATGGAAAATAAGATTTTTTAATCAAATAAATCTCATTTTGTATATTTATGTTGGACCAAAAAATCTGTAAGTTTTATCCCACATTCTACATAGAAAGCTTTGTTGTGCTGCAAAGTTGAAGTACAAAATACATGTTCTATATGAGAGAAACAAAAAAGAGAAAATTATTTGCACGAATCGTGATGCAGGAATGAGTGGTTGGATAAGGAGTACCCGGGTGCATAGGCTCTAAAACATGTTTTCGCTGGTCCAGGAAGTCTCGAATCGGCCGCGGCGGCGCCTGAACCTGACGACCCCGCTGCTGGATCTGCCGGTGGCGTCTGTAGATGGTCTCCGGAGTCCGGTGATCGATGACCTGTGTGGCCGCGCGGTAGATGGCTCTCCCCGCACGGAGCACCCACGGCGGCGCCATGGCTGCGGGGCGCGAGAAGGGGAGGAAGGCTCTAGAGGGGGAGGGGGAGGGGGAAGAGCGGGAGAAGGTAGGGAGGAGAGGGGTGGCGATCGGCTGCTAAATTGCAAGGGGGTGCGGCTTATATGTGGATGCCGATAAGGGCGTGGGGCGGTGGGAGGCCGGGCTCGGGAGGGATGGCGAGGGCGAGGGCGAGGGCGGGCGGGGCGCGTAACCGACATCGCGTCGCCTGCACGCGCGGGGCGCGGCATGAGAGGGGAAGCGAAGGAGAGAGGAGGGAGGGGAGAGCGCGAGCCGGTCGAGGAATTGGATGGGAGGGGGCGGGCGGTTACGGCAGCGAGCTGGATTGGCAGGAGGGAGGCCCAGCTCCCGCCTCGCCGGTGCGGCCGACGCGCAGCCCAGAGCCCCGCGGCTGGCCGAGGAGGAGTGCCTCCTCCCAATCTCTCACCGATTTCTGCTTGGAAGCGGCCCCAAGTGCCGAGCTGCCGAGCGGAGCGAAGCTCCATCTCAATTTGTGGAGTTCCTCGCCGTTGCCGTTGCCGTTGCCGGGCGACATTTGAATTTGAACTGAAGTCTGTCTAGATAGTATCTATAGGCCTGTCATGTACAAAATATCCTACATCTCCGTGTGTCGGGATGGCTAGTCGCTTTGAGCTTATCTCTCTCTTTGACTCAAGAGGGCAAGGGTTCGACGCCTGCGCCTCGCCATCTCTCTCTTTATCTTCTTTTTTATATGGTCTTTCCCTCTTTTTCTGTTGTCTTTTTTTTTGGCAAATCCTTTTCTGTTGTCTTTCTTTTCGTTTATCTACTGATCTTTTTTCTTGCAAGCGGTTTATCCATTCATCTTGCACGAGCACCTGCTCGCTTTGAAAAAACAGTGAAATCTGCTATCTGAAGTAAATTGCCCTCTACTTGGTGAAGAACTATTGCGTTGCTTTGCTGGGTCAGCTTTAGTTTTGCCTGATATTCATATAATATGTGTACGTAGTGGTGAATTATAGGGAATATCACAAATGTGAGGATTCATGTACGCATGATGCCCAACTTTTATATCCAAAACTCGTTCGTATACAGAAAAGATGCAACTGCTACAACTCCCAAAGTGAGAGAACAAGGAACAGCAATACGCAATTACTTTACACAGTGTGTTTCTGACAATAAAATAAAATTAACATGACCATCTCTTTCACGGAAATGCTTCTGTCAAGCCAGATAATTGTATATCTGGGGGTTACTCCGGTCTCTCTCCAGGTACTCCCTGTCGATTAGGCTCTCTATTCTCTTCTTCATATCCGCTGGCTTAATCGGGAACTTGAGCTGAAAGGGGGGAAATGGAGACCAGATACTAGGTCAAATTGCTGGGCAGGGAAAAGGGTGCAGGGAAATCATGTCAATCACTCCGAGTGTTACCTGCTGGAAAAGCTCAGTTATTAGAAGGGTGTGGCTGAGAGTTTTCCTCGTCTTCATAATTCGAACTATGGCTGCATCAACCTGCATATAATAAAGAGAACCAGGTCAGGTTATGCTATGAGATTGTAAGACACCAAAGACATGACTGGCAATCAGATTTCTACAGAAAGACTTTTATACAGAGGACTACCTTTCCTACCATAAGCAATAAAGCACTATAATATCAGCAGAGCAAGCAAATGTAGAGCATAATAGCTACATCGACCATGCAACTACTAGTCTTACAGGGATAATTGATTGTGTATTTATCTGCCTATTCTGACAGTTAAACCACAAAAGTTTCTGTTTGCAAGTTCAGTCACCTGATACTGACGATCTTGAAATACTCTCTCAGTGGTGCTTGTGTTTTCTTCTACTGTTTCCTTCATCTGAATTGCATTCACCTGCAAATACAGAACAGCACCTTAGTTACACACTTAAACTCGATGCCATCTGAAGTTGCCCTTCTCATCCAAAGAAAATTAAGGGGAAATATACCTTTATGCGATAAAGGGGAGCACTAAAATCTTCATTAAATACGAATTCGTCCTTATCATCTATATCTCGTCCTTTTGGTGTCTGAAACACAAATGATGATTAACCAAGCTGCATGCCGAAAATTTGTCAAAGACAAACAAAAGAGTCACACCTTTTGGAGAACCCTAACTTTGCCACATGCAAGTGACTGGAGTGTTCTTCTCAATTCTTTATCCTCAATACCAGTCGACTCCTTTATGTCGACAAAGCTTAGCTTTTGTGCATCGTTGAACAACATCAGGACTACACTCTAATAGAAGGAATAAAATCGGAGTTTAGTTATTGCTCTCAGATAATTACCACATGATAAACCACGAGAGGGGGAGGGGGCAATAATCCAACCTGAAATAGTGACACTGCAAGTTCCTTTCTGCCTTTGGGGAACTCTACTTTTAATACACAATGACCCAAAGAATTCTGCCACATTAGACGCCTTCCACTGTACTTGCTCAAATAGAACTCTTTAAATATATCCTGTCAAAGAGAAGGGTTCAAAAACAGACTTCAAATTTGCTGCGACCATGTCAAGTCAGCCCAGACTAACCTGATAGACATTGAGTTCATGTGGGAGCTTCACATCCATCGGTGGATATGTCGGCCAGTAGCTGCAATTCAACTGATTTATCAGAACCGCATATATATGATCAAGACAACATCAATGATTGCATGTTAGTATGCTCCGCAAATGCTAACACTAATCCATTGCATTCAGATACCAGCTACATGATCTTCTTATAATAAAGCCCATACAAGTAACAGTTTCAGACTCAGACTTTAGACAACTGTCATATCAATGGAATGTGCTTCTTACAATGCATGTAAATGTGAGGGCAAAGGTTACTTACCCTGTTGTAAGCACATGTACACTCATTTCAATGCCAGTCGGAAGTTTTGTCCTTGCCTGAGATGATTGCTTGAAAGAATCATTTATTTCTTTGGATAATTCAATGTCCTGTGAACCAAATTGAGATATGAAGAAATTATTATATATAGTATAAATGGATATAGTATATAAGCAAGCATCAGAAGAAGACAGGACAAAAGAGAATCGTCAGTGACAAAAACTATGCTACCTTGAACATTCCCTCTAGTTTGTTGGTAAATTGACTTCCGCACTCAGTTTTAAGCTGCAAACAGCAACATGTTGCTCAAATACATCATTATAATTTGGATCACATGTAAAATAGTAGCTTAACCCTCGGATAAGAAATTATTACCTTTGTAATCATTGATTTCTCAGCATCTATAGATGCGCTCTTTCCCAGCAGCAGCCTCTTAGCTAGATCCTTCTTGTAGAATGCCTCAAATACATCTTTTCCCTGTCCATGATGAAAATACACTTATTTTATTTACACTAGAGAATAAAGGGATGTACATTTAGGTTTGTTACATTTAATTCTCAGTTAACAGTTCTTTGCAGTGATTATCACATTATGTACTAGTAGTTTTAGGGCCTAAGCTTCTCTTACTAGCTCTGTAATGTACGTTATGGGCCATCTTGGAATTTGGCCTAGCATCACCCTGCCTGGGAAGGCCCAATTATATCACCTTTGAGGGTAGGGCTTAAACTCATTTAGGTATCGATTTGTACATGTTGCATCTTAGATATCTGAGCTCCTAGCTCATCAGACCGCAGCCTAGTTAAGCTATGTTCTGAAGACATGTGTGTCAAAAGAAACTGGGATGATCTCTACATTTTTCCTCAATTGATATGAATTTGCTTTCAGTCAGGCTCAGCCCAACCAGTTCCATGGATATAATTGCATCAAATAGCTCAAAGACTTACTTGTATAAATCGGAACAGAACCAAAACTTTGTCGAGTATTCCCTCCAATTCTTCTTCTGAAGTACCTTTATTTCCAGCTCGAAGTTTCTCATCGAGAAACTTTGCGATCAATTCAGCCGGTCGATTCTGTTGTTAGGGGACAAGCTGTCAGCCTTAATCTTTTGAAAAGAAAACATAGGAGACAGAAATTATAAGTACACTAATTTGGGTACTCAAGAGTCTTAAGACCGACGTACAATTTTACCCAGTTAACAATGTGATGAAAGAACATGCGCATCAAAATGCATCACATAAAATCCAAAATCATGCTTTATGCCTATCAAATCTCACAACTGACTGAAAAAAACGGCAGCCCAGTGCACGTAGCTCCCGCTTGCGCAGAGTCCGACCACTTTGGGTCTTCTGACCGCAGCCTTTCCCTGCATTTCTGCAGGACGCTATTTCCAGGACTTGAAACATAAAGCATGCTGTACAAGACTAAAAGTATGACCCATGTTTGTAAATTAAGCAATTGTAGGATTTAGCAAGGCCCAAAAGAGAAGATATGACAGGAAAGACAGCACACGAACATTGTGACACTGCATTCAAGAACGGATACCCCATGGAGCTCCATTTTGCCTTGTACAAACTGCTGCAGTGCGGTAGAGCATTGTATGTGTAACAATACTCCCGTCTAAAAAAAATTACTAACACATCACTATATCCATAAATTATCTGTAATAATATATATTAGCAAAATTAGAATGATATGGAAGCATCTTTCTTCAAGACGAATGGAATACCATTATTTCCATATGGGTTATTACATATTTTACATACATTAACCTACCAACGTTTCAAATGCTTGAAAGCGCATAACAACCAATATCTGGTGACAGGGTTACTGAGGACGATTCTTGATGACAGTCTTTTGACTCTATGCTACTACTCCCTCCTGTCACAGATTTTTTATGCTTGATATTCAGTTTGAGATACAATTTTACCATCAAATTTTTATCAGTATTTTACTACTGTGAAAATTCAAGACATGTATAAGAAAACATTATTTATTGCAAATTTCATCGAACAATTCCCATACAAGTACCCAGCTGTATAGTAATAGACGAGAGAGAAGAAAATGCTGACCACAACTTCCCATGATGATTGGAAAGAGTAATAAATATTTGACCAACGAACAATAAAAATAGAAGAAAAAGAACTATTACATCAAACTATATGCATGACAAGATATCCACTTAGTACTCAACAAAAAGAAATACATATAATGAAGCAGAATGGTAAAATCTGGCCCACCTGGCGTAGATTGATAAGATGCTCGAATGACTCCTTTATAGTATTGGAGAAAGCCTCATTTTTGGCAAAACTTTCTTCCAATATTTTATCAAGGGATGCCTTAAATTCCAGAAGAAAGGGAACCAAATCCTTGTCTTTCTCTTCATCCATGATAATGCCCTGGCCTGTGCCCCGGATATATAAACTAAGTGCTTGCTTTAGCATCTCAATGGCATCAACCCTCTGAAAAAGGGTGTACATCCTCGACAGGTCCGTTACACGATTTGCTTCCATAAGCACTGTAAATCCCTGAGACCCCACACATAAACGCCAAGAAACACAAAGATTCATAAGTGGAGAAGCAGCTAAAATAGATTAGTTGCATAATAAAAATAATACTGAGAAAGTGAACATCCTTATTGGTTTATCGATCTTATAGCCAACAAGAATACTGTTCTACCATGCTTGTTCAGGCTACTTGCCACAAAAAAGGTCTTACGATTCTAAAAGCAGATGCCCACCTTCTCAATAATTGCGGATGTGTGTCGCTGTAGCAATTGTTTCTCTGTAGTTGCTATAAGTGGCTTCCTCGTGTTAGCTTCCAAATACAGAATGCACCTATCATGTTCTTCTTGCAACCTTGACTGCATTAACTCGCATGCAATACCATCAGTTGCAAGCTACCTGACTTTCATGGTTCAGTATGAACAAAGTACATGGAGAAGAAAAGAAACCAATCATTACCTCCGCGTGCTTTAGATAATCTGGAATATCAGACTGCTGCAAATATTTGACACCTTCAGTAGCATAAAACTCAGAGGTGCATTCAAGAAAAGGCTTTTCGAATGTCTCGGAATACATTCCAAGATCAGTAAACATCTTCAGAAGATGACTAAGTAATGTCTTATCTATTGCTTCACCAAGCCTGATCAGGAAAGAATAATCTTTGAATAAACAGTTTTCCAGGGAAAGATAAAATAAATTGATAAGAAATTTTAATTGCAGTGATCCTCTATTACATATAATAGAATAATGGATTTCAACACAGATTCTATGACCAGGAAAGAGAAGACAAGTACATTCCTGCACAGGCTGGTGTTAGTTTATTTGATGAGCATGCATATAACAGATGCAGTGACAAAAATCCAAGTGAATCAAAACATGAGAACGCGATGAGAGAGACATAATACATTCAGTAACCGTATTTAGCCTTTACCCATTGACATTAAGATGAATTTGGATCACAATAAAAAAAGTATAGGCCACACATTTGTTAATCCCATATTGAACACATATGCATCATTAAGCATTTGTGTTTTTTCACTTGCATTAGTAGCAGTGTGAACCATGATACGAATCATTCGCCTGATCCACATTTTTCACAGAATAGATATTCCAATTAAAGGGGTGATAGTAGGATTTAATGATCACAAAAAGGATTGTTGCTTAGGATTCATCAAAAAAAATACTACACAATCATATGCTATGTGGGGATATGATAAATATATTATTAAGTTGACTATAGTTGAAGTTAAGTTAATCAAAACCAATCAAATATAAGATGAATCCTACTTCAGATACGTACGCTGGCAACACTGCGGATTTATTTGAAAGCAACAGACATCTGGTTATATAAGAGAACCTATGCCGGGTGTAGGTCAGTAGTAGTTCATCTCCACACATGTACACACACACACACCTGATCACCAGATTTCTATATATAGCACAAGAGCTTGCAACAGAATAGTAGGCATACCTCTCGCTCTCAATCAATCTTAAAAGACCAGTGACGGTTTTGTGTTCAATCTCCGGAGACAATGATATATGCTTGCGGAACAGCTGCAACCCCATATCCCACACTGAAGAAAGATTTGCAACATTCTTGACATATTTTACATCAAGAAGTAAAGCGATACCACGGATAATCAACATCTGATCACAAAAATCTTGCCATGTTCTTTGCACCAACGACAAAAATACAACCAGGTCTGGACTTTGACCCACTAATGCTGAGATTTTTGCTGATATATGTATTTCGCATTCTTTCTTGACTCGCTCGTATAAATTTGCCCCTAGCTTGTGTAGACAGAGATCACCAGCTGCCTATTGTGAAGAAAAAAATTCCAGGCTTAAAAATTAACGTGGGAGCATCAGACCTTATGGGGTAAACAACAAGGAATAACCTGATAAAGTTTCTCAACATCGCAGGAAAGCTTCTGCTTGAGAAATATGGCTGTAATGGCATCCTTCAAAATTGCCCAAGTATCTTCCTCAAAGTTTTTGGGTAATTTTGGCTGACCTATACATGAAAAGCAGATGGATGATATAACATACTCCCTCCGCTCCAAAGTATAAGGTGTACTGATTTTTTTCAAAGTCAAGCTTTCCTAGGTTTGACCAAGTTTATAGAAAAAATATCAACATCTAAAATACGAAATAGAAAAATTAAAGGACAAAACCAGTGCTAGAAGCCCCCGCACCAATACCAGATAAATAGAATATGGAAAATTATTTCATGATGCATGCAATGATATGATTTGATATTGTAGATATTGATTTTATTTTCTTTCTATTATCTTGGCCAAAGTATAAATGTTTGATTATTAAAACAAATACAGCTTATATTTGGGGGGTGGGGGGGTGAACAAAACAGAAAAGTATTGCATCGGGAAGCCTAATTCAGACTACAACTTTAAATATGTGACATTTATATGAACTAAGGTTGCAGAAAGAGCCCCGACAGCCCGTTATCTGAGAAAGAACATGAAAAATAACAGAGATTGAAGATTGAAGAACCACTAAAATCCATGGTGGAGAATACTGGACAGAAATAAGAAGGTTGAAGGTTGCATAGGCAGTGTTAAGTTTTATTCAATAAACAGAAAGAGACACGATGTTTCTTGAGAATATAATACTGGAGATGCCAAGACTAGCTACCGATGAACGCTGGCAGTCATGCCCGCTAATAATGCTAAAGGGAGTGTGTGTTGCACATACAATCTAGCTAGAAGGCCAGCTGACATCATAGCAGTCATCAACCAGCCAGACTCACCCTTCAAGTGCATCAAGAACAACAGAAGGCCACATCTACTGCAGAAAATCTGCCAGCTCAAATACAACCAAGCAGGCATCAACCAGCCACACTCGGTCTTGAAATGCATCAAGAACAACATAAGAGACACATTTACTGCGGCAAATCGTTGTCATACACTCACATCCAGTAAGAATCAATTATAAACAATCACTGTGAATTTCACATGACATAGACATGTGCAGAGCCCCTCGAGATAAAAAGCACTGCACAGATCTAGCTAATTTTATTGGTGCAGGCAACTAGATACATAGGCACGCCAATTAGGGAAAACCAATACTGACTAGTGAAGTTACAACTTGGTGGTCCGTTTGTGGGGAACAACTGAGAAACACCGCCAGTCTCTTGCTACTAGAGGAATTTAAACTCAAGTAGGCTCGCAAAGTAAAATGGATGTAGTTAGTCAGCAAGTGAACTCAACAACAGAAATAACAGGTTACCCTTCAATTGGCACAACAAATCTACACTCC